TATCGTGATTTCTGTGTGGATGAAAGGTTAGGTTTCATAAAATTTATTTTATAAAATAGGTTAGGTTAGGTTAGTTTAGGTTAGGTTTGATTACCTTTAATTACCTTCGGTTAGGGTAGGTAGGTTAGGTTAGGGTAGGTAGATTATCTTAGGTCAGGGTAGGTAGATTACCTTAGGTTAAGGTAGGCTAGTTTTTGTCAAATTTCTGTGTTAGCTTTGTGTTAACAAAGCCTAATCATATATAATACAACGGAAAACTTTATCATTCCACAAGATAATATGTTTGAAAAAAATGGATTATTTCGGGAAAATTTGCCTCGTTAAGCAACTGTGTCCATTAGGCGCGAAATACATACATACATACATACATACATACATACATACATACATACATACATACATACATACATACATACATACATACATACATACGCACACTAATGCATACATTTTACATGCATACAAACATTTTACCTATACACATACATACATCCTCTTCGCATGAGGTAAACCAATTTGGTATGTAAACCCCAGACACTTGCGCGGAGCGGGAGCGAGGCTAGATTATTTATTGCACCAGTAACTGACCAATCGGAACTGTAGCTTAGTTGAATTGGATTATTTTAACTGGTGGAACAATCCCGTGGGCGGCGGGGGTTGGGGGAGGTGGGGGGTGGGGGGGTGGGTTTAAGAGTCACATACAATGGCTTCATTAACCGAAAATGGTTTCATTTGTATTTGATTTGTCTGCCTTGCACTCCCGTTGCCCAATTACTTGGCCTGGACGGTTGACCAACGGTCTCGCTTCTTGCAGGTCGGCGTTCAATCCCCGACCGTCCAAATGGTTGGGCACCATTCCTTTCAACCGTCCTATCATAAATCCTTATCCTGATACCTTTCCAAGTGCTATATAGTCGTAATGGTGTAGTGCTTTCTTCTGATTTATCACGTTAACACCTTTACGTTGCAAACCTGTTCCCATCCAGTGGACAGAGGTCCGGTTTCTCGTCCCACTGGATAGGACCTTGAGAGGACTAGCCCCCAAGGACGGAGGACTTGGAGGGGGCTAGACACTAGAGTGTGAGACCTTGACGTTATTTGTGATATACTTTGTAATAAACCGGCTGGAGTATGCTGGCTGACCGCCGTGGTGTAGGTGTGACCGCCCACACCTACACCACCATATGACACCCACAACCCACCTGGGTGTTGACGGGTGTGTGTGTGTGTGTGTGTGTGTGTGTGTGTGTGTGTGTGTGTGTGTGTGTGTGTGTGTAAGAGTAGGTGGTTGGGGTAGTATAAACACACTTCATTCACACACCTGCGACATTTTGCCATGGGGTGCGTGAAGACAGGAAGATGTACAGGTGGGGTAAGCACACAGGTATGTGGCATTTTTACCTGTATCTGATTAAATGTCCGTTTAGCACCTTTTAACTCATATTTCCCCTCATTAATTCCCGTCTCCTTCCCTTCCATCCCTACTCCTCAACTTTCTTCCCCCCTTCCCCCCAGCTCCCCCTACCATCCTCCATGCCCTCCCCTCCATCCCCCCCCCCCTCCACCACAAGCCGCCCGCCCAAATCGCCCAAATCGATATAATTGCGCTCCCTGGCTGCCTTGAAGACTGCGACTTCTAAGAATAGCGATGTTCGGGATGGCACCAGATTATCAGCTGATGAGTGACTGTGCCGGCTGCAGGCGACCTTGGGGGGGGGGGGAGCGAAGGAAGGAGAGGATAGCAGGATGAGAGGGCCAAGACAGCAGAATGGGTGGGCCAAGACAGGTAGAGTGGGTGGGCCAAGACAGCAGAGTGGGAGGGCCAAGACAACACGGTGGGAGGGCCAAGACAACACGGTGGGAGGGCCAAGACAGGTAGAGTGGGAGGGCCAAGACAGCAGAGTGGGAGGGCCAAGACAGTAGAGTGGGAGGGCCAAGACAATAGGGTGAGAGGGCCATAACAACAGGGTAAGAAGGCCTAGACAACAGTGTGAGAGGGCCAAGACATTAAGGCCGTGGGGCCAAGATTCTAGAACTAATATAAAACTATTTAATTAAGTGAGGATGTACTCCTGCGTTAATGTGAGCATGTAGTCATTAGCAATTGCAGTGCTTCGTAATAAAAACAAATCTGAAAGGAGAGAGAAAAAAGAGAAGAGGAGGGGCAGGACGAAGAGGGTAGTAGAGAGAGAGAGAGAGAGAGAGAGAGAGAGAGAGAGAGAGAGAGAGAGAGAGAGAGAGAGAGAGAGAGAAGTGGACGAGAGTGGTAAGAACCCTCTTCTAGTATTGCATATTGCAAAGTCAGGGACACTGGGTGTTGCAAGGTCTGAACTAATGAATATTATAACAAAATGGAATTGACATTTCAAAATTTAAATTTTTTTTAAAGTGAGGGAAATTATCAGATGGATGCGCCAAGCCATTACGACTATATAGCACTTGAAAGGGGTCAGGATAAGGATTTGGGATGGGACAGGGGGGGAGGTATGGTACCCAACCACCTGGACGGTCGGGGATTGAACGCCGACCTGCATGAATCGAGACCGTCGCTCTACCGTCCACCCCAAGTGGTTGGACATTTGAAAAGTGAACTGGAGAAATAATGGATGTTGAGAAGCAACAATGCAAGCACTGGAGAGGCAGTATAGCTTTTGCAATCTAGGCCAAGGGCACATACTAGCCAACAGACGCTAAAAATGTAACCCAGTTATCCAGCCTTTGGTCCGATCTGCGGCTAAAATGTCATGAACGGCAACAGATGGTCAGATTAATTACAAGTTTTTAATGTTTGGGAATATTACTATTCAGGTTTTAGCGCAATTACCGATTCTAGAACCATTACAGGTTCTAGAACCCTTACAGATTCAAGACCCCAAAAGACCCTGTTATCTGATTGCGTCAAATACGTCAACCTCACTGGTGACGTTTTTTCGAAATGCAGGCGATGAGTCACAATAACGTGGCTAAAGTATGTTGACCAGACCACACACTAGAAGGTGAAGGGACGACGACGTTTCGGTTCTGGACCATTCACAATTCGATTGTGAGAATGGTCCAGGACGGACTGAAACGTCGTCGTCCCTTCACCTTGTAGTGTGTGGTCTGGTCGACGTTTTTCCAACCCTGCGAGAGTAAAGTCGACCCCATAAGCGTCTTTATATCCTGCATGTGTTTATGGGGTTGAGGATTGATGGAGGGAATAAGGTGTGTTGATTCAGTAAAAGGATCCACGTGTTGTTCCAGGTTTTTACTGCCAAGGTCATTGCCAGGGTCTATGATGGATGCTTGTGTCGAGTTTGACAGGAGAGGAAGTCTTACAGTTGTCTCCTGGTGGGGCTTCCTCCTGGCCAAACTTAGCAGCGGAGGTGACAAACACACACACACACACACACACACACACACACACACACACACACACACACACACACACACACACACACACACACACACACAACACCATAGTAGAACCTAAAGAAAGTATGAACGAACTAATGAGAGGCAATGGAACAATGCATGAAGATGATCTATGGTCATGATTCTTCCAACACCACCTCCGGACCACATGAACATGTGGAGCAGAGAAAAGCAAAAAGTGGAAGAGATAAGAACACTGAAAACAAAAAGAGGTAGCTTCCTGGGAAGGTAATTTTAGGAAATACAGGAAAGGGTGGACAATAAATGAGATAATTGAATACTTGAATATAAAACTTGATAGGATAATGGAAATAAATCTCATAACTTTAGAGAATAGAAGAAACGGAGGGTGGACATGAGCCCAACATACAAAATACTAAGGGGGGAATAGTTATGTGGTGGATAAGGGCAGCTTCTCCAAACTGAGAGAAAGTAAGACAAGAGAACACAAGTTGAAGAAATGTAAGGCAATACTCGTACCCTCTACGGATGGTAAAAAAATTTGGAATCCACTGAAAAAAGTTGTAAAAGCCACCTCCATCCACAACTTCAAGGCCAGATTCGACAAAGAATTCAAATGGCAGAATAGTTTAGCTATAAAGCAACAGATTCAACACGACCTCACTTTCCTCCCCCTTACACAATGACGAATAAGTACTATAGGTACAAGGCACTGAATAAACGCATAACCCGCCCCTTGTACCAGACCCAAATACCCACACAGCTAATTATTTACGCTTCTCTAATGAAAGTGACCTCAACAAAAGATAAATTACACTAATCCATCTCGCGTTAAACTAATAAATTTTCCTAGACACATTTTTGCATTCCCCACAAATTCCAGCCGACAATTTCCCTTCGCTATTATGTGGCGAAAACCAGCATTTGCGAACCAACGTGTCACTGGGTACCGAGTGAAGCTGGAGACTGGATCCATGGGGGAATCTGTTACAACTGGATCCATGGGGGAATCTGTTACAACTGGATCCATGGGAGATTCTGTTACAACTGGATCCATGGGGGAATCTGTTACAACTGGATCCATGGGGGAATCTGCTACAACTGGATCCATGGGGGATTCTGTTACAACTGGATCCATGGGGGAATCTGTTACAACTGGATCCATGGGGGAATCTGTTACAACTGGATCCATGGGGGAATCTGTTACAACTGGATCCATGGGGGAATCTGTTACGACAGGATCCATGGGGGAATCTGTTACAACTGGATCCATGGGGGAATCTGTTACAACTGGATCCATGGAGGAATCTGTTACAACTGGATCCATGGGGGAATCTGTTACGACAGGATCCATGGGGGAATCTGTTACAACTGGATCCATGGGGGAATCTGTTACAACTGGATCCATGGGGGAATCTGTTACAACTGGATCCATGGGGGAATCTGTTACGACAGGATCCATGGGGGAATCTGTTACGACTGGTTCCATGGGGGAATCTGTTACAACTGGATCCATGGGGGAATCTGTTACAACTGGTTCCATGGGGGAATCTGTTACAACTGGATCCATGGGCACCTGTTACAAATAGGTCCACGACCCACCTGTCACAGGGGTTTAGGCTGAAATGGAAGTGCGGAAAAAGGTAATTAGGTAATGAACGAGAGTGGCGCCGGCAGAACAAGCAGCGGTGTTCAACGAATTTGTGTTTAATGGGTCGTATTGAACGTTGTTGGTGTTGAACTTTCTGTGCTTGAACGCTGTCAGTACGGGACGCAGTGTTGAACACAGGTAGTGCTGAACACAGGCAGTGTTGAACACAGGCAGTGTTGTGCAGTGTTGAACGCAGTGTTCTGGTTAAATGAATAATGTTGAAACTCAGCCAGACGCAGGTTAGATATGAAGTAAAAATCTGAAATTACATCTCACATTTTTACCAGCTTCCATCCCAGCACATGTGCACACTTTACCCCTCCTGTGAGCTGTAGTGTATTGTGCACCCTATACCCCTCCTGTGAGCGGTAGTTCATTGTGCACCCTATACCCCTCCTGTGAGCGGTAGTTCATTGTGCACCATAACACTAAACATTAGAGGGCTGAAAAGGCCTAAACCAGACCTCATGGGGTTTCTGACACTAGAGAATCATTACATAAGCTGTACCACGTAATAATGAGATTGCAGAAATACAGCTTTTTATTTACATAGTAGTTTATAATATAAAATATATATAATACTGGACTTGTCAATCAGATTACGTAGTGTCTGATATTATACTGCAGGATATTACAAAGTCATTTAATTTTGCAATCTCAGTGTTGATAAAAATTAGTTTAATTTACACTGGTTTCATCTGTACTTGAAACCAAATTTAATGGCATTGCCAGATTTATTACGTTATTTTGTTATATATGTATAATGAAGTGTTGTGTGTATTAGCTCTATAGTGTGGCCCTGTTTGTGTTAGGCTCTATAGTGTGTCCCCCCTGTGTGTGTGTTAGGCTCTATAGTGTGCCCCCTGTGTGTGTGTTAGGCTCTATAGTGTGCCCCCTGTGTGTGTTAGGCTCTATAGTGTGCCCCTGTGTGTGTGTTAGGCTCTATAGTGTGCCCCCTGTGTGTGTTAGGCTCTATAGTGTGCCCCCTGTGTGTGTGTTAGGCTCTATAGTGTGCCCCCTGTGTGTGTTAGGCTCTATAGTGTGCCCCCCTGTGTGTGTGTTAGGCTCTATAGTGTGCCCCCTGTGTGTGTTAGGCTCTATAGTGTGCCCCCCTGTGTGTGTTAGGCTCTATAGTGTGCCCCCCGTGTGTGTTAGGCTCTAGTGGTTTGAGCTTAACTGGTTTGATTGACATATTTCATTATGATATGCAGCGGTTCTGCTGTTATCTATTTGCTCCTTACCAACCGATATTCTGTCCTTGTCTGTTATCGTAATTTCCCTGAAAATTGTACAAGTGACAGGTGTTTCCTCTCATGTTTGTCATATCTTCAATGACGTGAGGTATAATTTTGTTGGTCTTTCCTTGTAACTCATGCCTCTCCGCTCTGGGATGTGTCCGGTGACATACCTTAGTACTTTCTCCAGCTTAGTTTTTTGTTTACGAGATAAGGACTCCACGTTGGTGCTGGTTGTTCGTGAATTGGTCTCACATATACGGTATACATTATATTGAAAGAATCTCTTTGCCCTTTTCCAAGTTCCTAAAGATTGTTTTTATATTGAGCAGAATTGTATGTGATTGTTTTCTCTGTCTTAATTCTTCTCATAAGTTTTGGCATCGTCGGCAAACATTGAGATAAATGAGTTTATATCTTCTAGATGATTGTTTATGTATATTCGAAACACTATAGGTCCAAGAACAGAACCCTGATGGCTCGCCTGGACTTCGCTGGTGACATCTCGCCATTGTGCGACCTCCTGCCTCACAGGGACTTCGCTGTTTTCTGTTCCTTAGGTACTTTCACTGGAGAATCTTGCCTGTTACTCCTGCCTGTTTCTCCAATTTATGGACTAGCCTCTTATGGGTTACTGTGTCAAAGACTTTCTGATATTCCAAGAAAATGCAATCTGTCTGTGTGTGTCTGTGTGTGTGTGTGTGTGTGTGTGTGTGTGTGTGTGTGTGTGTGTGTGTGTGTGTGTGTGTGTGTGTGTGTGTGTGTGTGTGTGTGTGTCCTGAAATCCTCTATCTTTACGACGAAAAGCACAGGACCTCCTCCACGCCCACTCTCACCCACTTTACTCTTCCCAGAAATCTTTTTTTCTATTTTTTGCTCCCATTCATCCATTTTCTCCTGCCTCCCCTCGTTCCATCCCTCTATCACAAATCCTTTCTGCTACCTCCCCCCCACCCCAATCCTTCCCCACCCTCTCTATTCTTCCCCCACCCCCTTCTCTCCTTTCCTTCCCTGCTGACTACAAACATATGGTCGTTCGAAAATGTCCAACAGTTTTGGAACAGGCAAGTTAGGTTATTTCTTCCATTTTTGAGGCAATGGAGTTTTTCAGATGATCATTCTTGTAGTTGGTTGATAATTTATCGTGGTAAAAATTGTGTTCGGATTTTAGTTAATGCTCAGCTTTATTCTCTAAAAAAAATTATTTCTGGTTGATATTATTTTTTTTTTATTTTAAGGTCATTCAAGTTTGGCGGAGCGTTCGGGCAAAATAATACTGCTGGCGGGCCGTAACATCTGTGTCAGTGATAAGAGCTTGTTTAAACTATCCAATTTAGTGAGCGTGGAGCATCCGGCTCCATCAAAAGCTTTGACCAAAAAAAAATGTTTGACACTAAATTCTCTAATGACGTCACTGTGACGTCAGCAATGTAAACAAAAGCATTCCGCTAGGTCATTCCTCCCCGGGAGCCATATTTAAAGAGCTTGCCGATGCTTGTGAGATAAGACTGGAGATGAGAGATACTGGAGGTTGAGAGGGACCTCAGCGATGTCCTCCAGAAATATCAGGTTCATGGTTATTGGTGACATTCAGTAATTAGAGTGATTCTCAGGGAGATGGTTTGATTCGTTTGCTTTGCAAGTACAATTCACCTAATTGTACTCGCCTAATTATGCTTTGCTGAGGGCTGATTTTCAGCTCTTTGGTCCCCATCTATCAGCCTTCAAACAACATGTGTGCTATTTGCAAGCGATGAGTCACAATAACGTGGTTGAAGTGTTGATTTAAAACCCTCACATCGGAACATGGAGAAGCGACGACGTTTCAGTAAGTCGTCTACTTCCATAACTTCACTTCTTGTCACATTCCTCAGGTTATGTCTAATCCATGCAGCGGCCGACCCCACAGACACAGTCACCACTTTTATTAACATGATGTGCATTCAAAATTGAAATTTTCTCAAATATAACAAAAATATTATTTTAAATTAGCATATTGTGCTTATTTTGAGTCGGTCTTTAGGGTCGGTTTGGTGTTTTAGGGTCTGCGTTATTTGGATTTGTAGTACGTGGGAAAAGCAGTTCAATCTCTCCTCAGGACAGGCTTGTTAAAGCAGCGGCCCTCCCTAAGGGCAGTATTAAACTCTGTATTAAAAATAGATTTGTTCTCATGAATTAATATTATGCATTAAAGTTTAATGGGGGGTCTCCGTAAATGCCAATATTTCTTAAAGTATTTAACTTAGGCTAACCCCAACCAGCCTATGTCCGTCCCTTACCCCAGTTCATTCACCTGCAAAGTTGGTTGATCTTAGCCCCCAAATGTCTGGCCTCCAACCTTGGACAAGCAGACAGATAGGCAGAGAGACAGACAGACAGACAGACAGGCAAGCAGGCAGGCAGACAGACAGACAGACAGACAGGCAGGCAGGCAGGCAGACAGACAGACAGACAGGCAGGCAGGCAGACAGACAGAGACACAGCAAACATACATTCTCTCGTAGACATAAATAGGAAAATGTTTGCTCATTATCGATGCCTAATTTGTCACGGTTTATGAGTTTATTCCTCTCTCATCTCTGCCCTTTCATCTCTATCCCTCTACATCTTTCCCTCTCCCTTTAGAAGCTTGTCATTCACCCTGCAACTCTCTCCCTCCCTTTCCCCCTTACCATCATTTCCTGTTGCCTCTATATTCTTTCCTCCTTCTTCCTGCCTCCCTCACATTTCCTCCTTCAATTTCCATTACTCTTCCTCTCCCTCACCTCCTTCCAGAGCGCGCGTCTCATATATGGGTTAACGTGGACGCTAGCGTCAAATTAGCCCGGCCAGCCGGTGATTAACGGAGTCCTTTGTTGAGGGCATAATGTTAGAGGTGCGTTGGCCGAACGTGCGCGGGTCTGGACGCACTCCTGTGGGTCTGGACGCACTCCTGTGTGTCTGGACGCACTCCTGTGTGTCTGGACGCACTCCTGTGGGTCTGGACGCACTTGTCCTGTGTGTCTGGACGCACTCCCAGGTGTCTGGACGCACTCATGTGGGTCTGGACGCACTCCTGTGGGTCTGGACGCACTCCTGTGGGTCTGGACGCACTCCCGCGTGTCTGGACGCACTCCCGGGTGTCTGGACGCACTTCCACGTTGCTGGACGCACTCCCGCGTGTCTGGACGCACTCCTGCGTGTCTGGACGCACTCCCGGGTGTCTGGACGCACTCCCGCGTGTCTGGACGCACTCCTGCGTGTCTGGACGCACTCCCGCATGCTCCACATGTCTGCGCTCCACGGTGCGCGCCGGCAGGGTCAGGTGTCAGCTCTGGGGCTCCGCCTCTCACATTTCTTCTAATTAGCCCAGTGATTCCCGACCTTTTTCGGCTTGAGAAACCATTCATATATTTCGTAAAGCCTTTTGAAACCTCTAACTGGTTGACACACATTAGGTTCAACAAGGTGATTAAGGTAATTATGAGGGGAAAGTGCAAGGCTAGTGTGCCTGTATAGCACTTAGAAGATGATGACGAAGATCTGGGATAGGGCGGGGGAGGGGGGAAGGAATGGTGCCCAACCACCTCGACCTTCGGGGGATCGAACGCCGACTTGCAGGAAGCGAGGTAGTTGCTGAGCCGACCAGTACAGGTAGTTGGGTCCAGGTTCAACAGCGGTGATACTTTTCAATAAAGAATTTCGAAAGTATTTATTGCCTATTGCTATTTACTAATTGCTGGTAATAACAATTTATATAAATTTTCACTCAACATCTGTCAGGCTGCTTGGAAACAGATATTGTATATATATATATATATATATATATATATATATATATATATATATATATATATATATATATATATATATATATATATTTCGTAATGATTTTGTGTTATCATCATCATTGGTATTTTTATAAAGTTGTTAACCTAAAAACTTTACATTTCCTTGTTGTGTAATACATTCACAACTGAAAAATTATACAATTTTCAATACAATAACATTAATTCTAAGTGTCAGCAATTGTCTGGAGTGTAGCAACAGGAGTAACACAGTGAAGAACTGGCTTCCACCACTAATGGATACCTGAAGTACGGACAGAACAACCTGTGGTACAGATAGAACAACTTGAGGTACAGATAGAACAACTTGAGGTACGGACAGAACAACTTGAGGTACGGACAGAACAACTTGAGGTACAGATAGAACAACTTGAGGTACGGACAGAACAACCTGTGGTACAGATAGAACAACTTGAGGTACGGACAGAACAACTTGAGGTACGGACAGAACAACTTGAGGTACAGATAGAACAACTTGAGGTACGGACAGAACAACTTGAGGTACAGATAGAACAACTTGAGGTACAGATAGAACAACTTGAGGTACGGACAGAACAACTTGAGGTACAGATAGAACAACTTGAGGTACGGACAGAACAACTTGAGGTACAGATAGAACAACTTGAGGTACGGACAGAACAACTTGAGGTACAGATAGAACAACTTGAGGTACAGATAGAACAACTTGAGGTACGGACAGAACAACTTGAGGTACAGATAGAACAACTTGAGGTACGGACAGAACAACTTGAGGTACAGATAGAACAACTTGAGGTACAGATAGAACAACTTGAGGTACGGACAGAACAACTTGAGGTACAGATAGAACAACTTGAGGTACGGACAGAACAACCTGTGGTACAGATAGAACAACTTGAGGTACGGACAGAACAACTTGAGGTACAGATAGAACAACTTGAGGTACGGACAGAACAACTTGAGGTACGGACAGAACAACCTGTGGTACAGATAGAACAACTTGAGGTACGGGTAGAACAAGCGGTGCCATTGCAATCGTTAAGCAGCAGAAGATCACATTTCACGAACAAAGGCGTCCCACGTGAAGCCAGGTGATGGTAATTCGTCTTGGGAGTATCTCAAGGGAATATTCGGGAGTCTGAGATCAGTGTTCTCTGGGGGGTATAGAGGCGAGGTACACTGAAGCCCTTGGAGGACTGGGGGGACATCACTCCTCGATTCTTGTTCTCACTCGTAAATTAATTGTAACTTATTCCATTGTTCAAATATAATTTTAGTGTTATAGACACTGCCTCATTATTCTTGATAGGAATATTTCAGTCAGTATGTTCTTAAAACTTTAACAAAATGTCAATGTTGTACTTGAATATCTCAAGGACAGGGAGAGTGAACTTTACCAATCTCTGTCCCTCCTATATTTCAAAGTTAGAATATCCCAGCTATAGCTGTATAATATCCCAGCTATCCCAGCTATACAGTTCCCAGAACTGTATCTATAGATACAGTTCTATCTATATGCTATAGCTGGGATATTCTAACTTTCGTTCAACTTACTAACACAGATCAAATTAAAACATGACCTGACGTGGCCCAAAATGTTTTTGGAACTCACTAAATATATAAACAAGGTCATGGCAGTGAAATCAAAATTTATAATAGTGAGAACTAGGTACTGTGTGTGTACATGTGCGTGTGCGTGTGCGTGTGCGTGTGTGTGTGTGTGCGTGTGCGTGTGCGTGTGCGTGTGTGTGTGTGTGTGTGTGTGTGTGTGGCCGAGTGCCCGTGTCAGTAAACACGCCATAACTCGCCAAGAGCGGCGTGAAATTGCCGCGATATAACCATTGCTGCCACCGGGTGATGAATGACGGTGAATGAGGTTAGAGATACACAGAGAGACTGAGACAGAGACAGTAACAGAGATTAAAAAGAGACAGACAGAGATTATGTTAGTCCTTGAGGCCAATCCTCATGTGGTTTATTATTCTTTGTCGTAATCTCCTCTTCGTCGCTATCTGTAGTTTACAGGGCTCAGACTTAGCCTCGTATGCAGTAGCATTTTTCGTAATGCTTCTCTCTCTCTCTCTCCCACTCTCGTAATTTCTGTGTACTCATTTCCCACTTCTTTCTGGTTTACTTCTATTCCATATTCTCAATAATTCTTCCACACTCTCTTGCCTCTTTACTTTGTCCCCAGACACCCCCTTGTCGAACCCTGAGCTCGTCTATGATCATTTCTTCAGCTTCTTTGAGTTAGTTTGTTACGTTGTCAATCATGTTATGGGGGAATGTTGTGGTGGAATGGACTGGGGGAAAAGACTGAGTTGTCGGGGTAGAGTTAGGGGAGACGGAATGAGGGGGGGGAGGAGGTGACAGTTTGGGGGATGATATTAGGAGGAATAACAGGGGCAGTGTGTGTGTGTGTGTGTGTGTGTGTGTGTGTGTGTGTGTGTGTGTGTGTGTGTGTGTGTGTGTGTGTGTGTGTGTGTGTGTGTGTGTGTGGGAGACTGATCGAAGACGAAGAGTGAGAAGGGTACTGAGTGAGGGGGTGTTGAAGATTTTCCTCGCTGTATCTTTTAGGTGTCGTGAGTTAATATGCTTTATGTATCATTACATGTACAGTGGGCGGGGGTGGGTGGGAAAACGCGTCTGCCTCAATCTGCCAAGGTGTGTGTGTGTGTGTGTGTGTGTGTGTGTGTGTGTGTGTGTGTGTGTGTGTGTGTGTGTGTGTGTGTGTGTGTGTGCAGCAGACATCCAGGATATAGTGATCTTTCCGATTGGTGTGCATCCTCCTCAGATGTTTTCTCTCCACCACACACATATCCTTTCGTCTTCTGCGACTCATTCGTGTTATCCTTTGGCCATTGTTGTCTCATTCGTTATCCTGGCATGATAACTGTGCATCTAGCTATATCAAGTGTCCAGCAGCCACTTTTCAAACCATCTTTGGAGTGCCCAAATTTAATTTTACATTCCGCAGTTTTTCTCTGAGTCTCCCCCCATGATAACATCACCTGTAAACATTGATATAAAGGAAATATTATACATATATCAGGTCGCTGACGTGTGCTAGGCTTTCTCATCTCTCCTTGTTTGTCTCCCCTCTCAGCCCCTCTCAGCCCCTCTCAGCCCCTCTCAGCCCCTCTCAGCTCCTCTCAGCCCCTCTTTGAATACATTTTTGGGGGGTTGGGAAGAGGGGGAACGAAGGCTGTGGGTTCCGTTCCGTTCCGACACGACGGTCATTTTGGAGAGGCCTGTAAAGCCCATCTTCGTGCCAATGAATAGAATCTTCTGACCAAAGAGAATAAAACACATCAAGAGTGTCCCATCCGCTGAGTAACAAGCTCTGTGGTCATGTCGAGCTGCGTGGGCTTTGCACTGTGGATGTACATATCCTGTTTAAGTCCAGTCGAGACAAGCAGCTAAACCCACGAGCCAGATATAACTTGTGTTTTTATTGTGGCAATGTTCTCGTCATTATGGCGCCATTTTTCCCCCCTCTGGCTCTCTGGTCTTACACTGGGGAAGAGTTTCTGGTCTTACATTGAGAAATACTTCAGGTCTTACATTGAGAAATACTTCAGGTCTTACATTGAGAAATACTTCAGGTCTTACATTGAGAAATACTTCAGGTCTTACACTAAAGTGTTTTTGGTCTTATACTATGGAAGTAGTTTAGTTTTTCACTGAAGAAGTGTTTCTGACTTTTCTTTTAAAGGGAAGAAGTACTTCTGGTGTTAGGTTAGGTTAGGTTAGGTTAGGTTAGGTTAGGTTAGGTTAGAATCAGAAACACTGAAGAAGTGTTTCTGATTCTTTCCACTCAGGAGTTAATCTGGGGGCATATCTCAGAAGTCTTCCCATCTGAGGGATCTTGCTGAGCGAGGACTGGTTTCCAAACTTGTCGCTGCATACTCCCTAATTGGTCTGACATATGTGATATGCAAAGATCTGAACGACTCCTCTTTGCCGATTTAAGAAGTCATCGTACTTTGTTTACCCTTTTCCATGTAGGTGATGGTATCCGGCTGTTGCATATGCCTCCGGTTCCTGCACACACATGGTAAAGTAATCGGAAAGTTGACAACTGGGCTCGCCTCAAACCCCAGCCTATGCAGTGATTAGCGTTTACCTGGTTGATACCTGGTTGATGGGGTTCTGGGAGTTCTTCTACTCCCCAAGCCCGGCCCGAGGCCAGGCTTGACTTGTGAGAGTTTGGTCCACCAGGCTGTTGCTTGGAGCGGCCGCAGGCCCACATACCCACCACAGCCCGGTTGGTCCGGCACTCCTTGGAGGAATTAATTTTCCTTCGTTTGAATTAGTTTTAAATCTTAAAACTCTTAGTTTGAATTTTTGAAACAGTTGAAGAGTTCCGAAGCGCTACAAGATTACCCATAACAATAATAACCGTGCAGGCGATGAGTCACAATAACGTGGCTAAAGTATGTTGACCAAACCATACACTAGAATGTGAAGGGACGACGACGTTTCGGTCCGTCCTGGACCATTCTCAAGTCGACTGTGACCATTCACAATCGACTTGAGAATGGTCCAGGACAGACCGAAACGTCGTCGTCCCTTCACATTCTAGTGTGTGGTCTGGTCAATAATAACCGTGGATTAGCGAAATTTTCGAAGATCGTGACCATTTTATCAATACAAACGAAGCCGCCATGATTGAAAATAGATAAACAGGTTTCGTAAGGGGATACATAAATGCTACACGAATCCTGGCTCCAGATAATCCGTGTAATTAATAGGAGCAAATGCTCCAGTTTGCCTGATATTACGTAGCGTTATTAAATTTTCTTTATGATATTGGGTTGAGGGCGCATCACCTGTAGCTCCGGCGTTGACGGCTCGTCAGCTCGTTCTGGCGTTGAGAGCCCGGTAAGTGGCTCTGTCGTTGAGAGCTCGGTAAGTGGCTCTGTCGTTGAGAGCCCGGTAAGTGGCTCTGTCGTTGAGAGCTCGGTAAGAGGCTCTGTCGTTGAGAGCTCGGTACGTGGCTCTGTCGTTGAGAGCTCGGTACGTGGCTCTGTCGTTGAGAGCTCGGTACGTGGCTCTGTCGTTGAGAGCTCGGTACGTGGCTCTGTCGTTGAGAGCTCGGTACGTGGCTCTGTCGTTGAGAGCTCGGTACGTGGCTCTGTCGTTGAGAGCTCGGTACGTGGCTCTGTCGTTGAGAGCTCGGTACGTGGCTCTGTCGTTGAGAGCTCGGTACGTGGCTCTGTCGTTGAGAGCTCGGTACGTGGCTCTGTCGTTGAGAGCTCGGTACGTGGCTCTGTCGTTGAGAGCTCGGTACGTGGCTCTGTCGTTGAGAGCTCGGTAAGAGGCTCTGTCGTTGAGAGCTCGGTAAGTGGCTCTGTCGTTGAGAGCTCGGTAAGAGGCTCTGTCGTTGAGAGCTCGGTACGTGACTCTGTCGTTGAGAGCTCGGTACGTGGCTCTGTCGTTGAGAGCTCGGTACGTGGCTCTGTCGTTGAGAGCTCGGTACGTGGCTCTGTCGTTGAGAGCTCGGTACGTGGCTCTGTCGTTGAGAGCTCGGTACGTGGCTCTGTCGTTGAGAGCTCGATACGTGGCTCTGTCGTTGAGAGCTCGGTACGTGGCTCTGTCGTTGAGAGCTCGGTACGTGGCTCTGTCGTTGAGAGCTCGGTAAGCCAGACAAGGACTGACTATGTGTACATACACAGAAACACGGAAGGCAATCGAGTACACACCGACATGCGAAGATAGTAAAAAAAGTGTCAACAAATGCATCAAGAAATGACGTGGTGCAGACAGGCTCTATGCACCGCTGGACCCAAGAGCTGCAGCTCGTTCCCCGCAAGTACAACTAGATGAGTACAGTAGACTCACTTTGGTCTAGCCAGTAACATTCTCGCTGCCAGTTCCGGATCCGTCACGCAACCACTTGTACTCCGAGTCAATACAACGCCACACGCTCGCTTAGCCACCGTTATAACGAGTCCTGGCACTTGTCCCTCTCCTACAGGCACTCCCTTGTCACCGTTGTAACAGATCATAGCACAAAATAACGTCTTAAATCTATTGAAGAGAGACACCGAAGCACTTGGCCAACATTGTGTTCCCTCCCTCATAACAAAAGC